AAAAAAGGGCGCATTGTGGGTGCTATAAGAGAGTCGTACTTACCGCGAAAGCGAAATTCAAGCCGCGGGATTCGATTATTTGACCTCATCATTCAAGCGCCAAAGTTCGTTCGCACGAGAACTTACAGAGATGATGAGCGCTACCGATCAAACGCGAAATCCTGGTAAAGTTTATGCAAACCTTCTGAATTTCTGTTTCTCATTTGAAATTGAATGGCGTTATCCTGGTATGTATTGTTTTCACATCTTTTCGTGCCGTTAATGGTAGCTTTTAGTACCTGCTTGTAGGAACTTTCTTGTTTCATAGTTTGTTTCTGCTCAAGGCAAAGTATGCAGCTAGAAATTGATTCCAGTTGTAGATTGTTGTTCGTTTTCTCGAATGAAATTTAGAGAATATGTGATCGTGTAATGATGTTCTCTCTGAAGCAAAATTGGTCATGAGAAAGTGTCAATTTACTGTTAATGAACTGTGACCAATCGAATCAATTGTATTCTTGTATTTGATTGTTTTTCTGCATAGGAAGCTGGAAGAAATGCGTTGTTGTTAACTGGTGTTTACTATGAAAATCTGTTTTAACAATGGTTAGGGAGTTACAAATTTCATTTACTTTTTTTGGTATTATGTTGAATTGCAGGTTACGAAGAAGAAGGAATTGGCGAATTTCCATTTGAAAAAAACAAATTTGAAGTGAGAAAATGGTGAACACGAGACCAATCGAAACATAGTGTTCCCTAATTGCCAACCCAAACTACTGCAGCGGTCCCTCTAATGTCAGAGGAGAACATATTGTTTAGCCAAAACTAGTCACACCACTCTCAAAATGAAAGTTAGGTCAGTAATAGTAAGCTTTGTGCCTAATGTTTTGCTCTTTGGTTCTTATGTTTGTTTAACCTAGACAGTTGCTTTTGGTTCACACATGGTTTGCCTGTAAATGTAACATGTTGAAAATAATCAAAACGCCTCTCTTTTTTTGACAGTATTGCATGCAAGGATTTTTTTATTTTTCTACTACCTCTGGTTTTAGTTGCTTTTGCAGTGCACTCTAGTTCTTTGACATTCATCATCACCATTAACCTTCAAATATCCCTTCCTAAGCCAGTTTCTAGTTTAGATTTATTACTTTTTGCCATGAAATGTGTAAATTTGCCTGGTTACTCATGGGAGGGGATTTATTTACCCCTAAAAAATAGTTACTGTTGAACGGCACCATCATTGATTCATATAAACTAGATTTTATTGCACCGAGAGATAACGAAACAGATTGAAATCTTCAAGAGAAGACAAAATACGACCTTTTAAGTCTCAGCACAAATAAGGAGTACTTTATACTATTTAGGCCATGTCACTGCAGAGGTCGTCCTCAAGCTCCCCTAGCCCGGGGTACGGACTGTTGAGCTGCATGTTAGCTATCATCTCCCGAAGCTCGTGATTTTCCTCTTTTAGCCGGGCATTCTCCCTGACCTCCCTGTCGCGATTTTCAGACACGTGGTTCAGCTTGTCCATGAGCTGGTGATTCTCGTTTCGAAGCCACACGACCTGTGACCATAGCTCGTCCAAGTGCTTCTGTTTGCGCATGCGGGACCTACGAGCAGATTCCCTGTTGGATATCATCCTCCTCTGCCTCCTCTCGTTTATTATGCTCAGCTGCTGCTCGTCCGCTTCATCTGAAGTCGAGTTACTGCTGAGGCTCGTCTGCTGTTGGGTGCTTAGTTCTTGGAACTGGGTGTTGTTGTTGTTGTTGAGTTGGTACAGAGGGTTTAAGAGCCTACTAAATTGGTATGCTGGTATGTTGTTATTGCTCAAGCTGAAATTTACAGGGAGGTATTGATTTGGGTTGGGAGGGAATAGATAGGAGAGTTCAGTTATTTCACTGGGCTGCATTGTTTTTTAGTGTCTAATGATGGAAATTTACAGATAAAGATTGTGGGAATGAGTTTATGGAGATATGAGGATGGGAATTAGCTGTGGTAGTTGGAAGGCAATGGGAGAATTAGTGAATTTATAGGGGAGAAGAAAAGGTACTGTGATGAGTGTGGGCCCGTGTTGTGGGATTAGGAGTACAGTGGAATTCCTTAAAGATGAGATGGGAAGACTGTGTTGCCAATATATGTATGTGCTTATATAGCATATGGGATGTGCATATACCAAACATGGTGTGTATATGTGTATGTGTTTAAGGGCTAGTTGCATGTATACTGTAGTTACATCTCTTAACATGATTGTCATGGACCATGATATAGGGAATCCATACAATAATGTTGGTATACTAGTTGAGTACTGGATAATCTTATTGAAATGGGA